CCTCGGCCATAAATTACTTTATAATTCAAGCTCCTCACGAGTCCTGAGCTGCCTGGAATGGTGGCAATCTCTGTTCCATGGCTCAGCTTGGCTAAGGCAGCATCTGAAAACCTTGACTGAAGCCATGCTGAAATCAACACCCTGCTGCATTTTTCAGGGGATAATTCCTTCTCCTACATTACACAGCATTTTCCTGCAGCTAGTTAAAATCTGCTTTGGGAGATGAATATCTTAATTTATCTCAGTTGAACTGGTTTGGTTTGGGCTTTTTTTTTTTTTTTTTTGCTCCATCTAGTGGTGCACAAAAACCCATCCCAGAGTGTCCGCACACTGCTCTGAGCTGTGTTAGGGACTTCCCACAGCTGTTAATGGAGAGAAAATAATACAAGCAGAGAAAATAACAGCAAGGCAGTGGTTGCTGTGCAAAGCTGGAGTCTCACCCACCTATTTCAGGCAAAACCATGTAAAAGCTGAATATGTTTGCACAGGAGAACTCCACACTGCACAAGAAAACCAAACCAGCCTGATCCTAAACAGTGCAAGTGCTTAAAAGTGCTGAAGGAGAAATTCCCCATCTGAACTCCCTCAAAGCAGCAGCTTTTTTTAAGCCCTCTGAGTTCATGGAAGGAGAAAATAAGGAAAAAATAAGAAAAATGCCATTTCTACTTCGCCTTCCATCCTAAAATGCACAATAAGACAGTCTTCACTCTTCACAAAAACAATACAATTCACCCAGGAAGGGGAATTTTTCTGCTGGTACCTTTCCCTGTTTTATAATTTTCTGCTGGTACCTTTCCCTGTTTTATAATAGCATGCAGCATTTTAGGTCATCTACTTCTAACTCTGGTTAGCTAAGAGAGCCCCTACCAGCCTCTGCTGCTAAACCCAGGGATGCACAGCATGTTTTATTCAGCCAGCCATGATTTATTCAAAGAGGGAAATGTTTACTCCTGCATTTCTGGCTTCCACTGCACCAGGGAAGGTCAGCTCTCTGTGTGCTCCTGAAGAGAAAATGCCACAATTCAGGGATACTACAGCTCCAAACTCAAACTGTTCCAAATCCCAGCAACCCCTAATGACCCTATTTCCCTTAATTGGAAAACTACTGGATAGAAACACCCCATGCCAGTGTCCTGTGACAGCCAATAATGCTGGTCAGGCTTTGCCTTCATTTTCTCCTGAGCCTCATCATTAACTGCAGCCACTTTCAGGATAATCACACGCAGGCTGGGGGGGGGTCGAATTTGCAGGGTTAAATCAGTCTTGCTTCTTTGTTTTCCTTTGCACAAATAGATAAAAGGTACTTGTTGAACGATTGGACAAAGCTTCCCCTCTGCAAGGGAATAATTACAGAGCTCAGTTCACTGAGGAGAGAGTGGTAATCACTGTTTACATCTGGGAGGGAGATAAGCAAGTCAAAATATCAGAAATTCTTACTGTTTCTGTCTTTGGGAAGCAACTCTGAGAAACTCTTAATTACAGAGTAAAAGACCCAAATGGTGGGCAGTGTTCAAACATTTCAGTGTTTTGCCCTGCCCAGTAAACATCAGAGGGATATATTCTGTGGAATATAATTCCAGATGTATATTCCAGGGATATAATCAACTGTAGTCATCCATTACACCACTTTTTGCATACATTATTTTGAAATTTTACAGTGGGAATGAGTGTTCTTTCTCTATATTGTAATTAAAAAAGTGATTAAGAAATGTGTGTAACTGAGAACATTCAATACCAAAGAACAGCAGCAGCCACAGAGTGTGAGCAGTGAGCAGAAATTATGCAGAAAAACTTGCAAAATGATGAAGGCAGATTATTCTTGTGCCAGCAAATCCCTGCCCAAGCCTGGTCACTGCACAGTCACAGCCAAGGCAAGCACAAGGGAACATTTCACAGCAAGGACAGAGACACTGGATCAAACCTCAAAAAAGAGCAAATAACCTGTATTCTGTTTTTTTTGAGATTCCTTTGGGGAGAAAAAAACACATTGTAAAGATGACAGAGAGCCTCAAGCTGCCTTCATAGTTCTTCCCTCCTTGATCCTGGTGATTCTCCTTTTATCCCATCCTCAAAGCCACACACAAGTACAGATAAATACCTGCTTTCCCCCCTGCATCAAGCCACCTCTGCCTTTGCACCAGCCCCAGACAGTGGGGAGCAATATTTTACCTCATGACAGCAACTGCAGATTTAAGAATTTTTCCCCCTCTCCCAGTCCTTCTTTCCCACTATTTTCAGGGTAGTAAATGCCGCTGCAGAGAAATTCTGTTCCGTGGTACATCTGCTTGCGCTGGTTAAGTTGGAAAACCCAAGCAGCAGAAGTTGTCTGGTTGTTTTAGAGCCACAGGATGTGTCTGCAAAGGTGCAACCAACCAAGAGCCTTGTGAGCAGTGGGGACTTGGACACCCATGGTACACAATCTCATTTCCCCAGCTGCAGTCATGGGACTGTGCAGCTGCAAGTTCATTCCTTCAGTGACAAATGAACCACAGCTTTGAGAGAAATATTTTCATTGGTGAGGCAACAGAAGCATGTGAGCAGTGACCTGGTCCTTTGGTTGATCCAAGCCTTGCACAGAGGCCAAGGAAAGGAGAAGACAGAGCTCAAAGCAGCTTAGGATGGAAGCAGGCATGGAGAGAGATGTGCTGCCACAACAGAAAGGTACTGGCTCCTCAGAACCAGCACCAAGGAAGGGAAGAAGGGCTCATCTCCAGCAGCTACATCCATAAAACATCCCATGCTGGTGTTTGCTCGAACTTGAAACAAACTTAAACCAGCCCAACAGAGATCTCACAACAGCTGTCCTCCCACCCCACATCTGGCAGAGAAAAAATCCCCTTGGGCTGTGCCCTCCACACCACACAGCCACATCCAGACAGCAACAAAACTCACACTACACCTCAGGGCTTATGGTACCATTTATTTTAGCTCAAAATAAACTGTGCACTGGAGGAATCTGTTCCCAGCTGGCGTGTGTCCTCAGCACTGGGCAGGAGGAGAGAGCTGTGGGGAGGCTGGAGAGGAGGCATTGCTCAAACTGGCAGCACGGGGTCCCAGGGATGCGTGCAGTGCCAGTCCATGCCCACAGAAAGGGAGGAGGGAGATGGGCTGGGCAGAGGAGCACGGGCTGCAGCACGAGCCCAGCTGCGCTGTCATCTCGAGGATGGGCTGCTAGACCCCGAAGGTGGGCAGCAGAACTGGTGCAGGACATTATCTTCCCTGCCGAGGAGGGGGCAAGAAAGAAAAGAGACAGAGGAAGAGAATCACAGGGAGCAGCATTAGGAAAATTCAGCTTGAAATCTGTTTGCTTTTGTTTTCAAATCCACAAATGCTGTGAGTTGTTTGTAAGCACCACCCAGTTATCCCATTTCCATCTCAGAGACAGGACTCTTCACAAAGGGAAGAACAGCCCAACGAGCCAAGGCCAATGCTGATGGCTTAAACTCTGAGAAAAATGCTGCTTTAAAAGGGCCACTTGTTTTTCCCATTAGAAAAATTACATTAGGCTGTCATTTACATACCCAGCCTAATGTGGCCACGGCCCCTTTATTTTTAACATGCTCAGAGCTTCCCACAGGTATTTTCACTGCCCACATTCTGCTGGAAATGCAGAACAGAAGCATCCCCCTTCTGAGGGAGGCTCACACACAGAAATCCTGATGATGGCCTTGCTCCCTACCCCACTCCCTCCCAAGGGGCAAGGAAGAGCTCTGTCTCCAGGAGGAGTTGCCAGCATCATGAATGGTGCCACGAGGCAGGAGCAGTTTGGAATACCCACATCTGTAATGCCAGAGGTGCTTTATGGCAGGGAGGGAGATGCTGGCCTAGCAGGAGGCTCCAGCCACTTCTGAACCAGTAACACAACCATGAGGGGCCACTTCCTTTAAAGTAAAGAACAGGCTAAAGGAGGAGGATGGAAAGGAACACAATGAAGGAAGAAAAACAAGAAAATCCCAAACCAAATTTCAGGCTGTTCTGCCAGTTCTCCCAACTGTGCTCAGGAACACAATCCACCATTTGCACTCCCTGCATCACGTAGGCATCAAGTGGAAAATTACAAGTATTACTCTAATTATGCCAGCTTTCCTTTGCCATAGGGTGTGAGCACAGATGCCTTATGTAATCAGCTGAACCTCACACTGACTTGGGGCAGGATTTGGTCACAGTTTGGATCTGGTTTGCTTTGTCCATCTGCATCCTGCCTCTCTGGGAGACGTGCTGCTGGTCTGGGCCATGCTGCTCTCGCTCCTTTGCTCAGTTTGAAAATGAAAATACCACCAAACTTTTATATCTCTGCATATTCTAGAGAGAGCTTAAACATGCTGAGGTATACAGCTAGGCAATTTCAGCTAGAAATCAGGTCTTTATTCAACATTTTTTTGGTAGAAAATGGCAATGAATATTATATATGAAATGCCATATCAGTACTAATAAGAATTCTGAAGTGCAGCTCCTTCAGATATGTCCTTAGCTGGGACTAAGCACTGACTGGCAGCTACCACAGGGCCAGGGACTCTGCTGCATGGTGTGGGATGTCTCTAGAGGAGCTTGTAGGGAGGACACAAGAAGTATTTGCTTTGTGTCTCATGGAAGAAACAGTGCCCGGCAGTGGGAAAAAATAAACTAAGAGTTGCAAAGTGCATTTATCTATAAAGAGATATTTTTCATTTTAGGGGTATAAGTTATTTCCCAGTTTTCCCTGGCTGTGCTAGCGTGCAAAAATTCCCACTGTGCTCTTGACAAGAGTTAAGGAAAACCAAACCACTCCAGCACATGATGGAAGCATCTGAAAGCTCAGCATCATTGCAGGGGAGCCTCTGTGTTAACCAGTTACGGAGCCAAAACACCTCCAAAGCCTCCCAGGGGCTCAGGCAGAAAGAAATAGCACAATCAATCCTTCTATCATCGTCCACATAGTGGTTTGTTGCATGTAAGCCAACATTACCTGGTGAAACAAAGATTCCACATTAAAATTTCACACAAGTACAGTATTTTCAGAATGATGGTTTTACCTCCCAGAGGTGCTGATTAAACATTAAGCAGGCAGAGACTGCAAGAAAATGATGGGATTTCTTTGGTACTATAACATCCTTTGCATTATCATTTTGTTTTCACAGGTCTCACTGGGGAAAAAAAAAAGAAAAGAAAAGAAAAATCTCTAGCTTCACGATTTAAAAAATGGTCTTTGGACATGATAAGGGCATCTAATTTGAGATTAGAAGGATGGAAGGTAGAGTGGATGGAGACAGGAATGAGAGACAACCAACATTTCATACAAATCAGAACAAGGAAGTCACAGTAATGAAAAACCACATCAGATGGAAAGATGCTCAGACATTAGTGGTAAGCAAATCTGTCCACAGTTGCAGTTTGTATACATCAGCCTGTTCCATACCCACACAGGGAAGGCAGACAGGAACAGGGCTGGATATCCCCAGCACGGGCACTTCTGTACATGGAATTTTGCTCTGTGAGAGGTTCCTGCACAGATGGGCTGAGGGTCTGACTGAAGTTTGTCCAAAGATGTGTCACAGAATCCCAGACTGATTTGGGTGAGAAGGAGCCTCAAAGCCCATCCAGTGCCACCCCTGCCATGGCAGGGACACCTTCTACTGTCCCAGGCTGCTCCCAGCTCCAGTGTCCAGCCTGGCCTGGGGCACTGCCAGGGATCCAGGGGCAGCCACAGCTGCTCTGGGCACCCTGTGCCAGGGCCTGCCTCCCCTCACAGGGAGGAATTTCCTGCCCATATCTGTTCTAAACCTGCTCTCTGTCAGTTTAAAGCCAGAGAAAGTGTGTTTAGATAATGCTGGGAACCAGCTTCCTCAGACAGGACACAGAGCTGATTAAATTCCCTTTCTGCAGATGCCATTTTAGCTCTGGGTTTTGCTCAGCTCCAGCTGCGAGGCTTCTGAGACGATGATGCAGCTGGATCAGGCCAGAGGCTCAGCAGCTGAAGTACAGGACTACCTGGATTTCTATTTTGGAAGCCTTTCTGCGGTGTTTCACATTTCCTTTACTTTGCTCTTCACACCAGATATAAAATCTGCATTCCAATGATCTCTGACAAACCCAGAGCAGCTCCTGGAACCTGCAGCTTCCAACCAGAGGCTGTTGTTTTCAAGGCTCTACTCAGGAGGCAGGAAGGGGAAGGGAGTTAGAGAAGCCAAGCTACAGACACTGCTGGTCTATTTTTTAATTCCCAAACAGAAATAACCCAAAAAGAGCAAGCAGAGGAGGCATATGGGCTAACTGGAACCCAAACAAGCATCTAGCTGGAAGGACACGACAAGCTCAGGCTTCCCAAGACTTCCCTTGTAATAGGAGAATGCAAGATATCTTGAAATATTTCTGTCTCTTTTGAGCATTGTAAAATGAGTGGGGGATTACTGCAATAGCTGCAGTTATTAAAAATGCATTATTTCCCTATTAACGATTCAAAACAGATGCCAAAGATCGTCTCGACTAGAAATAAAACTGCTGGAGTGAATAAAACATCCAGCAATTAGCTAACAGCAAATCAGAGATGCTCCAGATTTCACTGTAGTGCATTCATTAATTGCTTCTTTCAGAGCAAATTTAATTTTTAATTCTGGGCTACAAAATTAATCCCTCTGTGTATTTTCTAAATAAAGCCTCAAAACTGCAGCCAGACCAAAGCATCCACGTCTGTTAGTTTTGTTTCTAATGATTTCTATTTATAAATTGATAAATGGGAAGATTAAAAGCTAAATTTAATACCGTCATGTGTATGTAGAAATGCAAAGCCCAATCCTGTTAGAGCTCTAGCAGCTCATTTTCATTCACAGCAATGGGATTCCCATGTAAAGGTCCTGCACAAAACCAGGTGCATCATTTGCACTTGACTCAGAGATCACAGTTGTGGGGATGGCAGTTTGGATATAACAGCTTCACAAATTGAAATTATGGGCAAACCAAACCAATTCCTGCCATGAGGATGATGGTAACAGCCTGGCTCCAGCACAGCAGCACATCTGTGAGCAGGGACAGCATAAACATTGCTGTGTCATTTGAAATTAAATTCTACAGACTAAAATATTCTGGTTTGCAACTCTTTTTATCCTTCCCAAGAACAGCGTGCTGTGGGATGAAGGATAATTTGTGGAGGTGTGGACAGGGCAGTCCCTGCTCAGAGCAGGTACAGCCAGTGGTGTCCCACTGACCTGAGCATGCCTGAAGACAGAGACCCCACGTCCTCTGCTGGCCTCTGTTCCAACGTTTGACCAAGCTCATGGTGAAATTCCCTTTCTCCCTACCTTGTATCTAATTGGAATTTTCCTTACTGCAGTTTGTTTTGGTTGCCTCTTGTCCCTGGGAGAGGCAGGCTGCAGCTTTTCCATATTCTCCCTGTTCACAGAACCCCAGACTGGTCTGGGCTGGAAGGACCTCAAAGCCACAGGCAGGGACACCTTCCACTGTCCCTCCAAGCCCTGTCCAGCCTGGCCTTGGACACTTCCAGGGATCCAGGGGCACCCACAGCTTCTCTGGGCACCCTGTGCCAGGGTTTGACAACTCTGAGTGAAGAATTTTCCCTGATGTCCAACCTGACCCTGCCCTGGCCCAGCCTGGGGCCATTCCCTTTCCTCCTGTCCCTTTTCCCTGGTGCACAGCCCCATTTCCCCTGGATGTCCCCTCCTGGCAGGGAGCTGTGCAGAGCCACAAGGTCTCCCCTGAGCCCAAATTTCCTTGAGAGCAAACAAGGCCAGGGATGAGCTCCTTCCCACCCCCCAGTCCTGAGCCATCAGCTCAAGGTCCCACAGCACTCTGAAACTGCACAGGCTTTGCACCCCCAGAGCAGGGAACTCCCGTCTTCACTGCACAAAAAACCCTGAAGAAATTCAGATTTTCAAGCACGAAGTTACGCTGCTCTAAGCTTTAATTCCAGAAGAAATATCACTGATAAAAATAACACCCTACGTGGAGTGAGACACTGAGACATCAAGGAACATCTGGTTATCCCATCAACATCCCAACAGGACGATCCTGAAAATTAAAGCACTATCAGCTAAGGACATAGGAAAACTAAAAGCCTCACTAAAAAGCAAGCAGGGAATCTAAGACTTTTCAGGCCCTGCTCCTCACCAAAGGAATTTGAGCTGTCTTACAACTCAACTATGGACTCACTGCCACCAAATAAACGAAGTGCTCTGATGGGAGAAAAAAACCAAACACACAAACAGATGCTGCAACACAAACCAACAGGGTGAATCCAAGCATGCATGGAGAGAGGTAACTAGGGGATGAAATATTCAAACCAGAAATATGTTTATGCATTTACAGATTTAGGATTCATTGTTTGCTTTTGTCTTTCCTTATTACCCGTACAAAGTGGTTTTGATTTTTCAGCACCAGGCTTCCAATATTTTGATATTAATATTATTCATGAGCTGGCAATTATGACTAAGTCGATTGCTAACAGCAGAAGTAAAAATTCAAGACAATATTTTCCATGGCATGCACAGTTTTTTAACAGTTTTCACATTTCCAATGACTGAGATTAGCTGCCCTCTGATGCTTCCCTAAGATGTTACAATAAACACTGGCATTGACAATAAATAGTACTGTGGGATGTAATTGCTGCTCTCTGCATTGGATCGAAGAGAACACATAGATAGTAAAAGAAGCATTGTGAGCTGGAAAATGTGTATTTTTGATGTATTCAGGGCCTGGATGTGTTTAAAACCTCTTTATTTCATTCAAATCCAAGGCAGTGCTGAGCCCTGGGCAGGTCCATGCCTTTAACCTTCAGAGGGTTAAACACAGGGATGAATTCCTCAGCTACTGGCATGGAATAGGCAGGAGTGAAAAGAAACGTGTTGCTCAGGACAACGTCAATATCCTCCATGAATTATATAAATATTTCAGCATATTTGTCACGTGAGAGCTCAGCCTGCACCTCCCTTCTCCCTACCTTTGCAAGCCCAGGGGAATGTGCCTCTTAAAGCACATGACACTCATTTTACAGAGTAATTCCAGAGTGCCTGAGAGAAGGACTCACTGCAGTGATGGTTCTATCCACAGCTACCCTACAAGACATCAAAAATATTGGATATTTACTCCAATAGTCTTTTTTTTTTTTTTTCCTTTTTAAAACTTAAGCAGCTGTTGCTTGTCTCGTGTCAAATGGCAGCACCAGATCTCCCTCCAAACAGCAGCAGTGGGTGGAGCGTGTCTGCTCTTACCTGTACTCTGAGTGTGTGGCAGGGACAGCTAGCTGGGAATGGTACAATGGAGCTGGACAGCAAAACTGGTGCAGAGTATTTAAAGACCTACGACACAAGGAAAAACACAAAGTCAAACCACCAGCTGTTGAGAAAGGGGCTCTTGAGGGGAAGGCAGGTGCTGACAGGAATATTGGAAACTCACGAGAACGGTGACTGAAATTTGAGGCACAGCTGTCAGTTCTGGATCCCGGGGGACACAGGGGAACAGTCCCAGGTTTTAAATGCACACACCAAAATGACGGTGAGGAGCTGTTGCAATGAAGAGTCGATCAAAGGGTTGTTGCAGGATTAAGATCAAATGCCAATTTAAGGCTTGGGGTTTGCCTTGCCACACAGAAGGAAGGCAAAAGCTGAAACACTGAGGGTAAAATCCCTGTGGAAATGAAGCTTTAGCCTTGCATCTTACTCTGCACCAGTCAGGCTGTTCTCTGTTCATGGAATTAATGCACAGTGCTCTGAATGAGGAGGGACAATGCAATGGATATGGATACAAAGCTTTCTTCAAGCCCAGCAACAACAAACATATTGCAAAATAAACCACTTGAAAATGTGAAAGAGCCCAAGTTTCACCCATGTTTTAAGCAATATTCAGACCTGTGCAAGAGCGGTTGAATTGTTCAAACTTGTTCATTGTTCAAAGCGCAGAAAGAAAACAAAAACATCCTTTACATCACAGAGATATTCTGCACCCCAGATCATTACATAGGTATTGTTTCACTGAAACAAAACCAGACAAGGGGGTTTCCACCTCTGAAGGAAAGCTTGGAAAATCTTTAAGCACCACGCAGCACACGTCCCTGCATTCCTGGTGTTTGTGCCAGGAAACATTAAACAAGGCTCAGCACAGCAAGTCCTCCATGATAAATCCACCTAATCAAATTTCTCAGGACACAGCATTCTTCTAGGAAATCATAAAAAAATAATCAATACCTTGTAGCTCTTTGAGTGGAAGAGGGAGCCGTTAAATTGAAAATCCTCATTTAACTTGTGAGCATCCAACCTGACAGTTAACAGAGGGGGTGGGTGTGTGTTTGTGTACACAAATGCACTTTTTAATCCCCCATCTTTCTCTTGGTGTTCTGACAGAAGTCTCAGAAGATTGATTTTGATTCTTCTGCATCTCTGAGGCTTAAAGTGAATCCTGTGAGGTCACTTTCTTATGAGATCAAAGAGAGTGGTTAAGCAAAAAGAAGTCAGGCTTTGTTCAGGAAGGAGTAAGTTACTAATCCTTGGGAAAAAAAGACAAGGTCAGCCTGTTCTGATTCCTGCTGCCAACACTGTGTCAGCAACTGCATGGCCAGGATCAGCTGGATTTTCTGTTCAAAGGTGGTAACTCCTGTGAAGTACTTGAGCTTTTGGAGCTGCAGCTCAATCCAGACACAAGGCACCTCCCCAGTGTGGGATGCACCCTCTAACACCTCACAGGGCCAGGTATCCATGGGAGCACCTTCAAACCCCCTGGGAAGACAAAAAATTCAAACCAAGGATGGAGAACAACACTGAAAGCATTGATGGGCTATATCAAAGCAGGCAGGACATGCCAAAGCTGGATTTTCTGTCAGGAAAAGCACACAGCGTTCCCCTTGAGCTGCTCCACTCAGTCCTGGGCAGCAGGCTGTGAGTGCAGGGCACGAGTCTCCCACTGGGCAGGGGAACTGCTCTCATGGAGGAACCTGCTCCTGCCTTGGCAAATCTGCTTTTTCCAGTAGAAGCAAAAGAAGGAAATGGAGGAAATCAGTAGGACAGTGTTCCAGATTCCATTCCCACTACTGTTTTTCCACTCAGATGTCTTCAGAGAATTAACCAAAGAAATATGAAAGAACATGAAAGAATCTCTCTGGATTCAGCTCTGCTCAACAAAGCTTTTTTGAACAGAGCTTGCTCCTGGCTGTTCCAAAACCATTCTGCCCTCAAGGCTCCCTGAATCTGTCCTGCTCCAACATTCCTGGGCTCCAAAAGAAACTGAACAGTAAAGAAGGTGGTGGAATCTGAAATGCAAGGAACTCGTAGAATTTTGGGGTTGTCAACTAAAGTTTAGAATTAAACACAGGATTTCATTTGAGACCTTGGAAAAGGCTTCTAAACTTAGGTGTTAGAAGTGACAATGTGGATTTAGAGTTTGAAGTAGAGATACACCAAGTAAAGGAAAGTTTAGGGTTTTAGAGTTTAAGATATAGAAAAAATAAAGTACTTACAGAGGTAAATAAGGAGCTTAAAATGCAGTGCTGTAGGGTTGTGTGTTATAACATGATTTGTTAAGAAAGTTTATATTCTAGTATGGGTCTATAAGATGAAATATTTAAGGACTGGGTTAAAAACATAAATATCTTTGTTAGTAGTGTTTCATTAGTCAATAATTCCTTAAAAGGTCTTGTAACTAAGGGTCTTGTGACCTTCTGAACCTTGCTGTAACGATGTGAACCAAACTCACCCTTCCTGCCTATGTAGAAGATAAGAAAAGAAACCACATCATCAAAAACAACTCACAGATCCCATCTCAAATTCCTTCCAAAATTCCCCACGAGTGAATTATCACCAAGAGAAGCTCTCCCAACACTCTTGTGGTTTGTACACACCTGTGGTGGAGCCCTGGGTCAGGAGCTGGCCTGCCCCGAGTTCCAAGGAGCAGCAGGAATGCAGCAGTTCTGTCCTGTGAGAGCAGCTGGGACCTGCCCAAGGTGGGGAGGAGGACTGCCACAGGCTGCAGGAGGTGACACGGGGACAGGGCTGCAGGCTGGCTCCGAGGGGCCACCAGGTCACTGCTGTCCAGCACAGCAGGCTGGATCCTCAGCCAGGATCCTTGTCCCACCACAGGCAGAGGAACACGAGGTCTGTGCTCTGCTCTGAACTTTGCAATTCAGAATAGCTTAACTCTGTTTGGGTTCCTCCAGATCTCACTGACTCATGGCAGCCTGACAATGATGAGGCTCAGGCTTTACAGCCCCTGACTAATGCTAATTCTACCCAAAGCAATGGGATAAATCTGCCAACGCAATTTAAGATTCACATGTGGCATTTTGTGCCTTCAATCACCTGCCAAAACAGCACTTGCAATCATCTACCCCTCTGCAATATACCAGAGAATATTTACAGTTCCAATCACTTTTTTTTGTTTGGTTTGGCTGGAGTTTTAATTATTTTTTAAACTTCATAGCTATATGTTGCAATCAGCCTTCAAAACAAGTTTGCATTCAAGCTAGAATTCATTTACTAATTTTTAACACCTAAAGACATCAGAAGAAATCCATTTCAATCATTTGGACGAGAATTAATCACTTCTCCTGTTCACAGTCTCACAGATACCCAGCCCTGTGAAGATTAGTTTCCACATCTGTAGCTGCTGTTCTTCAAAGGATGATTTAGGATTACAAAGAGAGCACAGGTACTTCAGCACCAGCACAAGACAAATGACAGCTGACAAATGCTGCTGCTGGTAATTTCAGTTTCTGGCCCATTGCTGCAACATCCTAGCCCACATGGAAGTTTGGCCACTTCCCACTTCCAGGCCAAGTTCCTTCCAGCTCTCCCCTTGTGAATCCCTGCTACAGACCCTGCTTCTTGGCAGAGCAGATGAGTCTGCCAGTAAAACCAGAGCCAAATCTGACCCAAACCCTTGACGTCTCATTGCCCCACAGGACAGGAGAAACCCAGCTCCTATCGGAGCACACAGCCCCCAGGCAGCTGTGGCTGTGCCTCTCACCCTCTGTAAATCCCATTACGTTTGCCATTAGAATCCACTCATTTTAACAGCACTCTCCTGTCCATCAGCAAACAGAAATGACAATTCTTTTTAATCTTCCAGTTTTAGAGCCTTGCTCAGATGTACAAATAAAAAGAAATCGACTACCGGTCTTCACATAAAGCCGCAAGTATTTTTAGTTTTTTTCATTTTCTCTTGCAATCCCTAACAAGCCTCCCAAACTCAGCAGACAATTTTCTCAGTATTGGTTTTTAAACAACCTGGGAGAGCAGAACACGAGGCCATTAACCTGGAATTGCTTTTGCTCTAACAGGTTATCCTGTGCTCTCACAATGTGCTTGGAGCCAGCAGATGCTGCTGGCAGGATTGGGAGCCTGGAGGCAGCTTGTCCCCTCTCCCTGCCCAGGACACCGTGGTGGCACAGGACATCCCCCCACCCCTGGTCATTCTGCTGCTGTTGAATTTTCAGCAGAATTATTAAACCATCACTGTGTGAGAGCTTCTTCCTATGAGAGCTTCCAAACAGAAACCCTGAGACTGAGGGGAATGGGAGCAGGAGCACAGCTGGGAGGAGCCTTTCTGGAGTTAATGATGGGGCTGATGAGAGGAGCTGCTCAGTCCCTTCCCTGCCCTTTGCTGCTGCCCTCTCCCAGAGCCACGACTCCATTCACCATTCCTCCTCCGGTCTGGAACAACAATCTGTTCCCCTCCATCTGCCAGGATTCTTCCATTTCTTCTGGCATGTTTCCATAAAGTGCACGTTGGAATGAGTATGTGGAAAAAATAACCCCACAGAGGCTGCTGTCCTGGATACCTGTGTGCACCCATCCTTCTAAAACCAGCTTGGGAACAGCAGGAGGGGCAGACAAATCCATCCCCTCCTTCAGCCCATTCCCTCCATGTCAGCTGAGGTAGCCAAGAATGGTTTGTTTGATTGGATCTATCAAAAGGAATATGTGCATTTCCCAGTGTTTTATCCTGTTGAAGAGTAACATTATTTTACAACTTGAAATTTTCTTTCTCATGTTGATCCAGAGTTATGGCAACAGCTGAGATTAGAAAATACTGTAGTTAGAAACCAATAAAGTCTGTCCTGTTCTTGTTTAATAAATCCAACCATTACTTTCATAAGGAACAACATTTGAAATATAACCAAAGGATACCCAAAGAGGTGATGAACAGTAAAAGTCATAATAATATGAACTCACATAAACTCCAGCTAAATTCTTGCTAATTAACAAGTTTATTAACCTGCCAGAAGGACTACCAGAATGAAAACCCTGACCCAGGCCACAGGACAGCTTTTTGGAAAGCAGAGAAAGCAGCAGGAAGCTTTTCATGGCAG